ACGATATCCTCCGTCGTGGAGTTGAAATCGGTTCCGAAATTGGGAAATTGTTGTTGGCAACCAGCCGTCCCTTTGTTGTGAAGTTGAACTTGACTATAGCTAAAACCTGAAAAAGTTATGCATATATGTGATGAGATGGATGCAATGCTCTTAGGTATGCCAAAAATGCATATGCAACATATGTTATTTTTGGGCTCAGGAGAGAAATCTCGATCTCCGGTTGTTTTTCTAGAATCTTGGTTCTGGAATCTTCAAGTTTTGATCCCTGGTCTCAAATTCTTCAAATGTTCAAATCTGATGTGCACATTCTAGTTTTTGATTTGAGAAATGCTATCCCAAGTATGTGTCTGAGCTGAGTGTAACGGTTCAGATGATGCTTCAAGAGAAATTGTCTCAAAAGAGACAGAACTCGTTTCAAGAGAAACGATCTTAAGGGAGACAAAATTTTGTTTTAAGAAAAACTGTCTCAAGAGAGACAAAACTTAGTTCCAAAAGAAATTGTCTCACGGGGAGATGAAATTAGTTCCAAGGAAAACATATTCAAAGATGATGCTTTAAGAGAAATTACCTCGAAAGCGACATAATTCGTTTCAAGGGAAACAATTTCAAAGATATCTGTTGTTTCATGAGAAACGAAATTTTGTTTTAAGGGAGATAAATTCAAAGATTTTGTGTTTCAAGAGAAACTGTCTCATGGGAGACAAAATTTGTTTCGAGGGAAACAATCTCAAAGGTTTTGTGTTTCAAGAGAAACTGTCTCAAGGGAGACAAAATTTGTTTCAAGGAAAACTATCTCAAGAGAGACGAAATTCATTTCAAGGGAAATGTTTTCAATGTTTATGTTTCAAGAGAAACTGTCTCAAGGGAGACAAAATTTTGTTTCGAGGGAAACTATCTCAAGAGAGACAAAATTCATTTCAAGGGAAATGTTTTCAATGTTTATGTTTCAAGAGAAACTGTCTCAATGGAGACAAAATTTTGTTTCAAGGGAAACTATCTCAAGAGAGACAAAATTCATTTCAAGGGAAATGTTTCCAATGTTTATGTTTCAAGAGAAACTGTCTCAATGGAGACGGAATTTTGTTTCAAGGGAAACTATCTCAAGAGAGACAAAACTCATTTCAAGGGAAATGTTTTCAATGTTTATGTTTCAAGAGAAACTGTCTCAAGGGAGAAAAAATTTTGTTCCAAGGGAAATGTTTTCAATGTTTATGTTTCAAGAGAAACTGTATCAAGGGAGACAAAATTTTGTTTCAAGGGAAACTATCTCAAGAGAGACAAAATTCATTTCAAGGGAAATGTTTTCAATGTTTATGTTTAAAAAGAAACTGTCTCAAGTGAGATAATCATCTGCATTAAATGAGACTGTCTTAAGCAAGACAATCCCATCTTCTCCTGAAAGATCTGTAAAATGTATCGGGATGTAACTATCATGATGATGGATGTGTGATGTATGCCAAGATGAAATTTATTTACTGTTGAATTTGCCCTCAAGAGAGGGAAAAAAATCAAGGTTTTTATTGCTCATGATGATGAATGCAAAGATGCAAATTTCATACATCATGTATGTACATGTTGATGTATATGTTGAGATGTGAGGGAAATGGTTGCGTGTGTAGTCTTCATTCTATCTCTGACTCAGTTTGTCTTCATTTCCACCAGGGTGTACTCTTGCAGACCTCAAGACAATTTTTTCTTCCCCTATCAAATTTCTTTCCAAAAATGGTTTCCTTTGCCTCATTTTCGATCTTGAGCTTCGGAGCGATTATTTGTTGAATTCCAAGATATGCTTCCAGAGAACTTATCTTGTTTGAAAATGCTTTTCTTCTTTTGAATTTTCAAAATTTTGAAAAATATCAAAAGGAACTTTTTGAAAATGTTACATCTTTCTAGGTTTCACAATTGAAGCAAATCATAAAACATGAGTTCATTGGATATCAAAAGAATCAAACACTCTTTTAATCTTTGATAGCTGCAAATCTTTGACAAATATCAAGATCGAAAAGTTGGTTTAGAGGTGGGTTTGTTTCATCGATTTGGTTATCGTGAAGATCATGGCATACCCCTTTTTCTTGATTTGGTATTTTGATCGGAGGCGAACAAAATGACACAACTAGCATAATCAATGACTAGACCTTTCAGAACACTTTTGTTTCAGTTCTCTGAAATCTTCCATTTGTTCAAGTTTCGTAAGCTCTTCTAACAAAGGTAGTGCAGAAATATCGGTCTAAAAATGAAATTCTTGAGTGCTCGTGTGAATTTGACTATAACAGGTGTTTCTCAGCTCCCTTAGTCTATTATTACCGAAAATTTCTTTTTTAGATAAATTTGATTTATTTTACCATTGTCTGGCTAGCCGAATCCATAAAGTCGGGGCGTTCAACCAATTGCTTTAGAGGGACAGCTTATTATTATAATCATTTTTATCAGGTTTAACTAAAGGGTTCATCTCATCACAAAGTCTTTGGCCTGACAAAAGCAGTGGAGCAAACACCGAATTGCCAAGTGTCCGAGCAATGTCATGGTTTGAATGTAATCTATTCATAAAACCAGGGCTTTCGAGTTTCCTCTATAACCAATTGCCTTAGTGGAATAGCTCAGCTTTAGAGGGACAAATCACTGAAGGGTTCGTCTCATCACAAAGTCTTTGGCCTGACAAAAGCAGTGGAGCAAACACCGAATTGCCAAGTGTCCGAGCAGTGTCATAGTTTGAACATAATCTATTCATAAAGCTAGGGCTTTCGAGTTTCCTCTATAACCAATTGCCTTAGTGGAATAGCTCAGCTTTACGGGTTTAATTTTTTAAGATTGTCAAGAAGAACCTGTTATAGTCTAGATGTTTTTTGAAAGTCAAGGGATCTCATCTTTAGAGTTCAATTTCCAAACAACTGACCTAAACCAGATTTGCTTACTCGACTATTACATCTATGAAGATCATTATCATCACTGAACATCATAAACAAAGGTATAAACCAATTAGTTTTGCAATCTCATGTGTTAGTTGCCCCATTCTGTTCGCTCTTAATACATGTCTGAATGCCAGACCTTGGATGAACTCTTCATGAGAAGAGAAAACTTAGCTTGGTAAGAGAAAAACATGTAATCTGATGTATCTTTTAAATTAGGACCAAGGGGTCTTTGTTTTGCAGGGTTCAATCTTGTCATTTGTCAAAGATTTACAACCTCAATTGTTAAACAGTTTTTAATTAAGGTGATATTCAAGGAATTCAAGATTAAAATTTGCTCATTTCCTAAGAGGGGAGCATTTTGTTTAAACGTCAAGTGACTTAAAAATGTTTACGCATAAGAAGTACGAAAGAAAAACAAGTTCAAACAAGATGATATGCTTGATAATGCAACAAAATTCCTAATGGATGCCCCATATGACTCTCGATCAGAATGCCCCATTACATATTGAAAGTGAAAGCCCCTGAATTGATCAGATCTTGGACCTTACGTTTCAATGCCCCACAATTCTCAGTGGTGTGCCCTGAGCTCCCAATATGATAGTTGCATACGGCGTTAATATCATGGCCTTCAGGATATGGGGCCTCTCTAGGTTTGGATTGGACCGGGGTCACAAGATTTTTCTCAACTAGCGTTGGGAGTAACTCCTCATACGTCATTGGGATTGGACTGATGCAAATCTTTTCTTGCCTTGGTTCCTTCTGAGTTCGTTTAGAAGTACCGGATGGTACAACAGCAGTGGAGACCGTAACACCTTTGTTGGCGTTGTAGGTACTAACATTGTTGATATTCTTCATGGGAGGCTTCTTACTGGAGTCATCTCCCTCAATTTTTCCTTGTTTTATAGCTAGCTCGATCATCTCTCCAGCCATAACTAGATCTGAGAAACTTCCCGATGTGATTGCCACCAGGTGCCCGAAGTAAGGCGCTTTCAGGGTTTGTACGAATAGCTTCCTAGTTTCCTTTTCATCCAAGGGTGGATGAACTTGCACAGCCAGATCCCTCCATCGTTGTGCGTATTGTCGAAAACTTTCATTGTGTTTTTTTCTCTAGGCTTTGTAGCATAACCCGGTCTGGTCTCATATCGTTGATATGCTTGTATTGTTCTAAGAAAGACTTGGCTAAGTCTTTCCATGTCTTGATATGAGTTCGGCTGAGCTGGTTGTACCACCGGATGGCTAAACCGGACAGGCTCTCCTGGAAACAGTGGATCAGGAGTTGGTCGTTCCCTACATATCCTGTCATCTTCCGACAGAACATAGTGATATGGGCTGAAGGGCAGCTGTTCCCATCGAACTTCTCAAACTCAGGGAGTTTAAACTTTGGTGGAAGCACCAGATCTGGAACCAGGCTCAGCTCCATTGCGTCCACTCCATAATAATCATGGTCCCCTTGGACCATCTTCATTTGATCTTCTAACATCTTGATCTTCTCTTCCATCTTCTTTGCCTTATCATCCTCGTCAAAATCTGGGATGTGATTGTCTTCCGGATGAGTGTTGGTCGCGGAAGCTTGTATATTTGCACCAGATATGGCTTTCCCCTTGACAGCATATGAGTCCCCTTGTAATCCGGGTAAGATTTCAGGTGAGACATCCACTTGTGGGGTAGGTGGTATAGTTACCCCTTCCGGTGAACCTGCCCCAGGCGCACTGGTCTGTTGTAGGCCAACTAACTTGGCAACGATCTGATCAACCAGAGATTTTTGGTTCTTCATGATTGTATTCAGAGTACTCAGACTACTCTAGTTTATCTTATTTTCAAGTTTTTTTTGCAATTTCGCCATGTTCTCCTCGATTTGAGCGATTCTGGCCTCCATTTGTCTTTTCTTTTTCAAGCGGGTATTATGCGGATGAGGTGTGTCCAACGCTTGAGGCGGTGTATCCAGTATTTATTCCTTTATTGAGACATTCTTCCGTTAGTTGATGTGAATGCAATGAAAATAACGAAATGCAAAATATGTCTAAATGCATGATGCATGAAATATCCGAGGCATTAATCCAAAAAATGTGTCTGTTATTATGACTAATCCTCATTGGGGAAAAAAGTGTTTTATCTATTAAGAGACAAAAATATTCTGACAGCTTTTGACATGTTGACTAGTCTTCTGTATTCGTATGTCACTGGTTGAATAACATGTCGAACCACTCCGACTTCCTGGATGGGTACTGGCCCAAGAAGTCTTGAATGACTGCATCTCTAGCATCTATCTTTTGTTGAGCTTGTCCCCAACGAATGCGTCATTGGAGCCCTCGATTGTTAGAAAATATGTGAAGTCATTAGTTTGTTCATTGAATTCGTCAGCTATGGTTTCCAATTTCAGCTATCGTTTTGCCATTGTTGTCTCTGAAGGGACTCTTAAGATTAGTAACCTTCATCTTGCCCCTGCAACCTTTGATAGTCAGTTTTTCCAAGATAATCTTTCATTGTGCTTGATGCAGACCCGATTCATTCTGAGTCCTTTATAACGCAGCAAAGTGATATATTCCTTAATTGTGGGCACCACGCATTCAGGATTGAATACGACACATAGTCACCTTGTAGACTGTCCTCTTCATTTTTATCTCTTGTATTACAACCCCTTTGTCCATTAATTCAGATTATTTATGTTTAACAAACACACTTTTGGTGGATCAACACCTCTTTTAAATGATGCAAGTGATGAAAACAAAATAAAAGAGAACAAAAACAAAAAGAGTTAGTGAGGTAAATCAAAATAATAATAAAAATGAAAAATCTTACCCCACATGATATCTACCCCTCATGCTTATTATTCCTACCCGGACATGATCTCTATCCCGTAAGTTGGTTTTGAACAAGTCCTAATCGCATAAATTTCTAGTTCACATGCTTTGAACAGAAAGTAAAGCAGGAAATAATTCCGGCATCCTAGGGTTTGAAATGAGGTTTTAGGGTGGGCCCTAACTCCTTGTACTCTCCGGGTTTAGGTTCTAAAAGAGGTACCCGAGTTCTCCTTGCTGGTGCCCCCTTGGGCTTGCCAAACCCTTAGTCCTAAGCCCATTACAAGCTTATTTGGACTAAGTTAAACTCGAGAGGAAACATTCCCTTATGCCCGCACGGAGAATAAATTCACACGAAGGCATAAGGTATATGTATCCCGAAGGCTACTTGCTAGGCCCACACGGTGAATAAATTCACACGAAAGCGTCGCTTTCACCCCCACTTAAAAGGAATTGGAGCTCGGGTATAGAGCCTTAGATGAAAAAAAAACTTTGAAGGTTGAAATCATGAGAAAACGATTAGTCCAACTATTTACTCGAAAATATAATCAAAAGTAAGTAAAAAGGATCAGAATATTACCTTAAAATTTAAACTTACCCTTTTCGTTAAAAAGACAACTGGAAATTACCTTAGCCTGACTCACTTGCCTGTGTCCCCAGCGGAGTCGCCAAGCTGTCGTAACCGTCTTTCGGTTGAGCCCCGGAATTGGGCTTCGACTTGAAAAATGTGATTGGAGTCGCCACCGATTATTTATTTAAAAAAATAAATAGGTTAATCGGATACCTTATATCTTACCTGATCTGCGTCTTACCAAAGATATGTCGGATTCGGGAGTCGGTTACGGTCAAGGAAGGATTAGCACCCTTGAACCGCCCTTTCGGTACTACGTAATTTCCAGTTGTTTTTAATTAAGAAAATCGAAAGTTAAAATTTAAAGGTAACATATGATCCAAAATTACTTACCTCCGATCAATTTGAAAGAGTACCCTTAAAAAGTCGAGAAACGCGTTAAAGGAAAAAGGAAATAAGAGTAAATGAAATAAAGAAAATAGAAGGAAAAAAAATAAAAAAAATGATGAAAAACTAAAAGAGGAATAAAAACATATAATTATTAAGTGCAAAATAATAATAATGATAATAAGTAGTAAAATAGAAAACGCAATCACACCAAAAAAGTAAAAAAAGAAAGTCAAGGTTTGGTGAAGTATAACAGTCGGGAAGGAAAAAAACGATAAGGGGTGGAACTATAGTTAATAAATGAGTGTGATGTATCCCTATAATATAGTAAGAATGAATAAACAAAAAACATTATGATATAATATATATATATATATATAATAAATATAATAACGAAAAAAAAATTAATAAAGTAAAATAATAATAATGTAATATAATATAAATACATTAAAACAAAAAAAATAAAGAAGTATAAAATATAAAAATATAATTAAATGTATATATATATGCATATGTTTAAAAAAAAGTAAAAATAAAATAAAAATAAAATACAATAAAAAATATACATATAATGATAATAATAGTAGCAAAAGAGAAAAATATATTTATATACGTTAATAGTAAAATAATAATAAATATAATAGTTATAAATATATATATATATATAATAACTTTAAAAAAACATTAAAATAATATTAGAATAAAAATAATTAATATATATATATATATACTTAATAATACGATTTATCAAAAAGAAATAAATAAAATTATGAAAATAATACATAAGGGACCGTTCATCGGTGACAAATCTTTCCTTCGTTTTAAATATCCTAGTATTTTTCCAAAGCGACCTCGGGGTTGTGTAGATCTAAAAGAAAAAGTTTTGAACGACAACCCATTTTCCTCGGCCAAAACTGTTTTTTTTTCCAAGCACAAAGACGAATAACAACACATGCAAGTGAAGAAAAGAATGCGAAAGATAAAAGCTTTCACCTTTTATTGCTCCTGAATTGTTTACAATAGCTTCAAAACAATCTATTTGCTCGTATTTTTTCTGGTAATTTCGTATGCCAATCGTGTGTTACAATAGTGAGCTACAATGGTTATTTATAGTGCTTGTGGATCCTATCTTTAGGAGTTTAAAACATAGCAAAATTCTATCCTATTTTAGGAGTTGAATCCTAGCAGAATTCTATCCTATTTTTGAGAGTTTGAATCCTAGTAGGACGAAAAAAGTGTGTTGACACATGCCTGTTTAGGATATATCCTCATCTTACTACATGGTATCTTCCCCAAAACCTTTATTCACTCAATCTGCATATGGGTCTGGGCAGCTGTTGAAGGCTTTACTCCAGAAGCTAAAGCAGTATAAAGTTAGAGCGATGGCTGACATAGTAATCAATCATCGTATTACTAAAGGACATGGAGGAATGTATAACCGTTATGATGGAATTCCACTTGCATGGAATGAAAATGTCGCCACATCGTGTACTGGTGGATTGGTAACATAACATTCTATATTTGCACTGCCTCTTTGATGCTTTGTGATTGTGAACCTATACTGTAATGCAAGCTTTTTTTTTCATTGGATTTAATTTCAGGATCCTGGATTCGCAAAACGATCTGTGTTCTGTAATAATCGGAGACAAAGTATGAATGAAGATCGGAGATGGTTCATGGTGTCCAACTGGTATGACTGAAGAAGAGATGGGTTGACGTTGTTTTTCGGAAAGAGAAAGATTCCGGAAAGATGAGTTGAATTTGTTAAGTGAAGAGTGGTAGCGGAGGCGGTTGAGAATGGAGGAACTTCCATGATGGCAACAAAAATTTTCATTCTTGGCATATCCTTCTGGTGTATATGCTTATTGAGACGATAAGATGAAGAAGAAATTGATTATGTTTTATTTTTTTAGTTGTAAATTCAGACTTTCGTTAATAGATTAACGGGGTTAATGGTTGTAAACGATCGAAGGATCAAAACCAAACCAACCGATAACGTAAGGAACTAAAATTATTATATTTTGAACCCTTGACTAAAATCAAACGAACTAAAAACATAAAGAATCACCTATATAATTTATCCATATAAAAATTGAGGGCCATTAGTAATAGCTCAGGGTGCTCCTAGAAGAGTCGGTCCTGTCGCTCTTCATCCCTAATACTGTTTCCATCACCAAGCCAGAAAAGATGTGAACATGTGTAAACAGAATTGATCAAGCTTCTTCAATAGCCGAGCTGAATACCGACCAAAGCAAATACATATTTTAAGTATTGTATAAACAGATCAATAAAGCACAATAATCAAAGAAGAGGTAAGCATTATCAGATGGAAGTCAATCCTCTGGAGAGAGCCCCAATTCTTAGATGAATTGTTGTCAATTGAACTTTGAAGTTCAAGAGCAACAAGAAAACATTCAACACACATTAGAAGGCAAGAACCTGACTGATTTCATGGCAATTTTTTTTAATATTAGCTGATGACTGAGCAACATGCTGGATATAATTTACAATCGGCTTATCATAAATAATTTTTTTAAATAATTAAATAAATATAAATTCTAAACTATTTATATAGAATATAATTTGTTATAATATTTATTCAACTTTTGAATTAATTTAATAATAATTTATAAAAAAATATATAAATAGTTATTTAAATACTTTTTATTCTCAAATTAAATTAAAAATAATTTAATTTTTAACTTAACAGTTATGTAAATTAAAAATTAATGCTGATAAAATATGAATAAGTTTTTAGTCTGGTTTGAATACTTATGCGAAAGGTCTTAGATTTAAATTCTAGATTCAACGAAAGTTATTTATTTTTGTGGCGGTAAAATAATATAAATTAAATAAGTTTTTTGATAAAATATTTTTTTTCAAGAAATGGTATTGCATTACATGCCTTCACTTTTAAATTCGTGAATGATTTTTTTTCTCTCAAGAATTCAGTTCAAACAAGTTGAGAGCAAGCATTTAGGCTTCAGTAATTAGCAGCTTGATGATTAGCTAGCCCAAACAGCCCAATATTGTCTGCATCTTATGATCCAACGGCTGGCCACCGACTCACACAGCAAGGATCCTTCCACGAGTCTAGCATATACTCGTATTTAAACACATCGATGCGCATCTAATTTCCCCACTTCTCCGCTCCGACTCGCTTCCACTTTGACTCTGCAACCAATACAAGACAGGAATCGGAAAAAAGCAAAAGCAAAATAAAAGCCTAGGCAAATTAGTCGTCGCAATTCTCTATCGGCAAACACAGAAGAATTTTCGTTAGATTAGCGATGCAACAAGGAGATTTTAGCTCTTATTATCAATATCCTTACCATTTAAACCCTAATCCCAATCCTAACCCGAACCTCAATACAACACCAACCGAATTTCACCCACCATCTTACGCTTCTGCACCACCTTTTAACTCCGGCTACGCCTCCTCCGATTACTCCGGTTATCCTTCAAATTACCCTCCATATTCCCAAAATATTGATGCTGTCCCTCCCGCTGCTTCCTCTTATACACATCCACCGTCAGCCTCAACGGTTCCACTGGTTCCGGCAATAACCCCACAATCGTCTTTTAATCAACAACCCCCTGCGCCACCATCGGCGACCGCAGCTCCTTCTTTCCCGTCTTATGATTCACATGTTCCCTATCCGTCACCGACTTCCCAGCCTTATGATCAGCATCAGACGGCTTCCAGCTATGGCCCTGCTACGCCAAACCCTAGACCCGTGCCTGATCCACCTTACTATTCAAATCCGTATGGCCAAGTAGGATCTTCGGTATCGTCTGTTCCTCCCGCATATGAAAACACATTCAATAATTCAATGAGATATGACATCGGCGGTGGCAGTTATTTCGAAAATAAATTTGGTGGAGGTTATAACCCCGGGAAATCCGATTTTGGATCCGATGTCTATGGTAAGCAATCGGATAGCTATTCACGATATGATGATGGTGGTGGTTACGGTGATGAGGTTTATGCTTACCAAGGAGGAAAGGTGGAGCCTTATGGGGCACGTGGCACTGCTCCAAAATCGTCTACTTGGGTTCAATTTGATGATTATGGGAGGTCTATTAATTTCCCTTCTGGGAAGGACTCGTCTGGTGGGTCAGGTTCTTCTGCCGGTAAGATTTTGAGGGCGGTACCTAAGGCTGAGACCAAGCAAGATGAAAATAGTGGTGTCCAGAAGTTTCGTGTTAAGTTGTTTTCTGAAAGTGGAGCACATGGCCCCATGGATGTACTATGCCAGGTAACTTCTAATTAAATATCATCGGTATTGATTTACATTTGGTTGCAGGGATGAAGTTCTTGGGCATTTGGGTCATCTATGCTGTTTATATTGTTGAATTATATGGGGATTTAAACTGGATGGCTAAAACGCTTTGTAAGGTTCTTCAAAATTTAGTCCGACACGTCATATGGTTCTGTATGATTTATCAACATTGTACGTCATATCAATAGTACTAATGGATAATTGTGTTTGCTAGCCCTATTATTTATTTATTTATTTATACTGCTCATGATATAGCTTATTTTTTGTGTCAGATTGGCTTAGATGGTATTCGAATGCTTGAGCCTAGCAGCGGTCGGATATTGAAAATATATCCTCTTGAGAACATCACAAGATGTGAAGTGAGTTCCCTAGTACTTTATTTTCTTCCTCCCTCCTGCTCCCACCCCAATGTTTTTCTTTGTGGTTTCTTTCTTTGAATGATGTGTGCATTGTGATAAAGAGGTATGTTTTCTTCTAATGTAGGTGTTGGACTCATCTACCTTGGCTTTCTGGTCCAAGAGCTCTGTTGACATTGAACCAAGGCGAATCAGGTTGCAAGCAAGCAGTTACACTACAAACACCCTTCTGGATATTATAACAGCTGCAACTGTACAGGTTAGTCTCAGATAGTTGTAATTTTCTTATTTTCTCGTTAGAATTAACTGTTTAATTTGTATGACTTCATACGGTCATTGTTGTCTACTTTTTTCTGTTCTTGTGGCTAGTAGATTCTTGACCCATTCCTAAAATATTTTAACTCTTACGTTCAAAGAGTTGTTGCTCTATATCGTGGAGTTGTTTTTATGTTTCTTAGTGTGGTCTGTTGTCATACCTTGACGGATTCAACATATGTGCACAAAATACATATACTTAAAGACTCAGTGCAGACTTGGTTATTAATTCAATTATTTGTAGAAAGACACATACCCATATAAGTGCAAAATCAGGTAATCTGTGTTCAGTGATCAGGCTGTTTTATTTTTCACTTCACTGATTTATACTTTTGTTTCACTTTTTAATTTCCATATTTATAGTAAACTTGTCCATAGCTTTCCATCTGTCATTTTAAAGTCCGTTTGTTTGATATTTAGGAGGGTTTGAAAGAGGAACTTAGGGGCTGTTTGTTTGGCTCTGAATGGAACCATTCAGCGTTGAATGCTGAACCGTTCAGCATTCAGCGTGTTTGTTTTTCACCTCTCAATGATTCAGTGCTGATTGATTCAGCAAAACAGTGCTGAATGATTCAGCATCAAAGTACATTCTGAATCATTCAGAGCTATTATCAAACATCATGTCACATTCAGAGCTAATTCATACAGAGCCTCTGAATCATTCAGCATTTGAATCATTCAGTGCTTAATCATTCTGAAGTAAACAAACAACCCCTTAGTGAAGTACCATTGAGCATCATTTGTTATAGCTTAAGATAAAATAAACTGGAAGAAAAAAATGTCTTTGTTAATATAGCCATTACGATTGAAGTGCCTTCAGAAGAGAGTGCAATGACAAGATATGTATTTTGTCTGGAGCACTCAATTTTTTTAAATAATAAGCCTCTTTATTCATTCAAAAGATACAGAAGCTTGTCATTCTGCTGTTATCAGGTTTCTGTTGGCTGTAAGCATATGTGCATTTAGTGTGTTTAATACTCATTTTTTTCTTCTGAGACTTCGTTGGTGAATTACCTCAACCTTGTACACGCATGAATTGATTATTTTTCTTTTTCTTGTCCTCTTATTGGTACATCAAACGTGTGTATAACTTTGTGTATGTATGTGTGTCTTGATGACTTTACTCTTTCACCTTTTCATTGCAGATCAAGGAGATGGGTTGGAAAAGTCGGCCTTCTGCACCTCTAAAGGCTACTGAACAACCTGCAGAAAAGAAGAGAGAATTTGCTGATTGGATTAACATTAGAAAGCCTGGTGTCGAGGAGAAAGATCATTGGGTAAAAATTAGAGTTCAAAAGATGTTTTTTCCCCTTCACCTGGATATTGCAGGTCAAATAAAAGAATATTTAAGAAAGATAATAGGTGGCTTATCTCTATATTCTTTTTCTTGCTAGGTCCCTGATGAAGCTGTTTCAAAGTGCATTGCATGTGCAACAGATTTTGGGGCCTTTGTGCGGAAGGTATGTCAGCCCCTCTGTTTTTGGAAAAGATCCCCTGCTTGTGTTCTTTCACAATTTAAGCTCAACATTTCCTTCTCTTTTTTGTTTCAGCACCACTGCAGGAACTGTGGGGATATTTTCTGTGACAAGTGTACCCAAGGTCGAACTGCTCTAACTGCTGATGAAAATGCCCAACCAGTTAGGGTTTGTGATCGATGCATGGTAGGCTTATCGATCAGTTTCTCACCTCTATTATTTCATGGCAAAATAGTTTCTGTGGATATTTCTCATGTTTATGGTTTTTATGTTTTCGCAACTTAGCATGACAACTAGGCATTGGTGTGATAAGAATCCTGGATGAAAAGAATGTATTATACAGATTGTAAGCGAACTTGGTTTAACATGTTGAATATTTGTATTTCAATAGTGTCCTTGTTTTGAAGTCTAGATTTAGGTACTGACCAATTGAAGAGTCATGAAGGATGTCTAGGATCTGTTTCTTGCGGTTTAACCTTGAAATGTTATTTTCTTCCTTGAAAGCTTTACTTTGAAGTGATTAGACAACTGAATTTGATTAGACAGTTCGAGGGAAGGTTGACGCAGGGAAGAATGAACATATTGTTCATTGTTGTTTGCTGAACAATGAAAGAACTTTCAATTGTTCATAGTTCCTTTCATTTTTTTTTCTTAGGAAAGGATCGTTAATTGTAGAATACCCATCAGTCTTGGATCTTTTTGTTCTGTTGTAGGCTGAAGTGACTCGGAGGCTGAGTAATGCTAAGGAAGCAGCAAGTAAATCTACTGGATTTCAGAGTCATGAGGATCTTGCTAGGAAGCTTCAGGTATGCATCAATTAGGGACTGTATGATTTTAATATTAATCGTAAATTAACTTGTGATAATCTATCTGAAGTACTTATGTGAATCATCCTATGGTGATGACTTATGACAGGAGGAGATGGGAAAAAGTCGCAGTGCGTTATCAGGTAATTTCTTGTACCCTGATGTCACGTTTGGTACTCTCTTTGGTACATAAGTAGTAGCATAAGGAAAAAGCTCAACTATTACACAAGTTTTGAAATATTCTGTTACATATAAAAGAAGAATTAGCACAAATCTAAGCTTTAAGTTATAAAAAGACGAGTAAAAAATACCTATTCAAATTAAGTAATAATATATACTCATTCTTTTTGTTAAATCTAAGTTATGTGAGTGGCTAAAAATTAAGTGAAATTAGTTTATTACTAATTCAAGCACTAAAGCATAAGGAATAAATAACACTAACTAAACGTAGCATGAGTGTTGTATGATACTGTGAAAGTTCTTGCACATACATGCGCATTATCAGATTAGTAAAATAAAATGGGAGACCTTATAAATGTGTCAAGCTCAGGGTGTTGCTTGAATAATAGAAACACAGATTTAACTCCCATGACTGATGTGGCAGGGTGAAAAGTTAGGGAAGGATATTTTGTAGGACACATGTAAAAAATAGGGAAATGTGAAATTATGTTGACCTTTGTTTAAACGGTTTCATTTTGGTAGGCTCCAAGTCTGATGGATCTGGTAGGCGGATGAAGGAAGTTGCCTGTCCCACCTGCACCGTTCATTTGCAGGTCTGTAGTCCATCTGCCACACCATTTCAGGATTGCAGGGTTATTGTCAGTTGTTATAGTTTGGCTGAATTTGAGTATGTTTTACAGGTACAAGTTCCCAGCTCAGGTTCTGAGACCATTGAATGTGGGGTGTGCCAGCATCCTTTCCTTGTTAGTGCCCATTGATCGTGGGCATTTGTCACCAGCAGAGGCTCTTAATTTTCTCAATTAATATCTTGTTGAGGTTGTGATGATATTGGAACTAATATGGATTAGCTTTACTAAGTTTTCATTTATTTGTTCAAAAACCTGGCGGACCCATTGGTCTTCTGTGCAAGTCATTGTGCATATGAAGTTGCTTGTTAATCTTGAATCATGTTTGTTTATAAAATTTACAAGTGTGCTTCCTGGTGAGACGGTTGCGCTTTGTTTTTCAGTTTTGTACTTTGGCAATTGTTTTTGGGTAAATTAAAAATTTCATCACCCAACTTTATCCCCACTCTTATTTTGGTCATAGAAGTTTAATTTTTTTAGATTTAATCACTAAATTTCTGAATTGTTCCTTTTTTCAATCAAGGAAACATAACATTAAAACGGTGTAGTATTGAAAAAGTTTAATTTATATTAGAACAACATCGTTTTGTGTCTTTGTAAAGAAAACTTCTGTCAAGACTTCGATTCTTGTTTGTTGTGATCGACAATTTTGACGGCCGCGTCGATAAAATTAAAAATTCTCACTCAACTTTTTTTTTATTTTTCTAAATGAAAATTTAATGTTTATTCAATTGAAAAATATTTGAAACTTTTCAAATTTAATAGAAAAGCAACAGAAAATCGTTACTAAAATTGTGTTTCCATCAAAGTTGAAGACTTGAAGTTCAAGCTTTCAGGGTGTGTACTTTTGTTAATTTACTTTTGGGTAAAATAGTTTTCTGTTGGTTAATATTTAGAAAGTTTTATACTTCCTATCCATGATTTCTTGTTTATGGAAAACTCTTTTCTCTGTTAAAACTTCATTAATCCTTAAAACATTTGAACATTATTCGAAAATTATACTAGTTTTACTATCAAATAGATACTGCATTTCAACAATTGCAGCCAATCTATTAGTTGTAATGCAACTAATAATAGTTGCATAATGCATAATTAGTTGCATAATGCATAATAATGGTTCATAATGCATTGTAAGTTGGCAACAATTATGGTTCATAGTTGGCACTAATAATGGTTCAAAAGTGACATGGAAAAATTACATATTTTAGTCATTATACTTTAAGGTATTTACAAGATTAGTCCTTAAGCTTCAACTATAAATACCCTATCTCATTTAGCTTCAAAATCATCCAAAAGCATTCTAGCTTTCGTCCAATACTAGAGAGAATTTAGAGAGTTTCTTGAGAGTTGTTTTCTTCTTTTTATCAAGAGAGAATTATCATTGTTTTCTCCTTGGTAGATCGAGAGAGCTTGTAATTCATATTTTCTCATAGTGAAATTCTTCTACCGTTGCCCGTGGTTTTTACCCTATATTATTTAGGGGTTTTCCACGTAAATTTTGTGTCTTCTTTATCTTCATTTTTATTTTCTCAAATTATCAGTTGCGATTTTATTCTATCTGATAGCCGTCTTCCGCAACAATTGGTATCAGAGCCAGATTAGAGTGTGTAATATCTGCTTATTGTCTTTGTGATTGCCACCAAATGGTGAATCCTCTAATATAAGAAAGTAAGAAGTTATTACTCATTCTTTGAAGGTTCTAGAGAACTATTTACGATAGTGAAATAGTGGGAGCTATCCGTAAAAGAAGTTATGGCAATGAAATTTGATATTGAAAAATTCAATGGGATAAATTTCTCATTGTGGAAATTGAAGATGAAGGCCATCCTGAGGAAAGACGGTTGTCTAGCAGCTATCAGTGAAAGGCCGGTAAATTTCACAGATGACAACAAATGGATCGAAATGGACGGAAATGCTATGACAAACTTTCATCTAGCATTAGTAGATGAAGTATTGTCAAGCATCAAGGAGAAGTAGACAGCTAAGGAGATATGGGATCATCTCACTAAACTGTACGAGGCCACATCGCTGCACAATAAAATTTTCCTTAAGAGAAAATTATTCACTCTCCGTATGCCAGAATCTACTGACGGAGTACTTAAATACACTGAACACTTTATTTTCTCAGCTTACATCCTTAAGCTGTAAAATAGGAGAACAAGAACGTGCTGAACTTCTACTTCAAAGTCTATCGGATTCGTATGATCAACTCATCATCAACTTAACAAACAGTAATGTCACCAGTCTAGTTTTCGATGACATTGCAGCTGCTGTTCTACAAGAAGAAAATTGGCACAAGAACAAGGAAAAAAGATAAGTAAATCTGCAATAGACAGAAGCGTTGACAACGACGAGAGGGAGATCAACAGAACGTGGCCAAAACATCAATCACAAACATGGTAGATCGAAGTCGAGGAGAAAGAAGAATTTAAAGTGCTACAACTGTGGAAAGAAGTGTCACTTGAAGAAGGATTGTTGGAGTCTAAATAAAAACTCCAATCCACAAGGCAATACTACAAACACTTCAGATGATGGAGATGCTCTATGTTGTGAAGCGTCAACCACCGTGGAAGGTAGAAAAAGATTTGCAGATATATGGCTCATTGATTCAGGAGCAACATATCACATGACCTCAAGAAGAGAATGGTTCCATCATTATGAACCTGTCTCAAGAGGATCTGTGTATGGTTGCAATGATCATGCCTTAGAGATCATTGGCGTGGGAACCATCAAATTGAAGATGTATGATGGAATAATTAAAGTTGTTCGAGATGTGCGGCACGTGAAAGGCATGAAGAAAAAAATAGTATCCTACAGATTGTTGGATAATAATGCAAGCAAGATTGAAACACAGAAAGGAATCATGAAGGTGTTCCATGGAGCGTTTGTGGTGCTGAAAGGTGAAAATATAGCTACTTGGACATCAGAAATTCAACAAACTTGGACACATGTAGTTCAGATTCTGCAATGTTATGACATCAGAAACTTGGACACATGTCAGAACAAGGAATGAAAATCCTTGTGGAGCAAAAGCTACTTTCAGGCTTAACAAAGGTAACATTTCCTTTGTGTGAGCATTGCATAACAAGTAAGCAGCACCGATTGAAATTCAACAAATCAAATTCTAGAGGCAAAAGTGTTCTAGAATTGGTTCACTCTGACGTATGGTAAGAACCAGTTACATCCCTAGGTGGAGCAAAATACTTTGTTTTATTTATTGATGACACGTGTTTTCAACTTTCAAAAACTTCAAGGCGTGGGTGGAACTTGATTATGGAAATAAGATCAAGTGTTTCAGAACAGATAATGGAGGAGAATACACAAGTGAAGAATTTGATGACTTTTGCAGGAAAGAAGGAATCAAAAGACAGTTCACAGTGGCGAATACTCCTCAGCAAAATGGAGTGGCAGAGCGGATGAACATAACATTATTAGAAAGAATAAGAGCAATGTTGAGGGATGCAAGCCTAGAAAAATCATTTTAGGCAGAAGCAATCAATATCGCCTGTTATTTGGTGAATCGAGCTCCATCAACTACAATAGAGCTGAAGACACCAATGAAGATGTGGACTGGTAAATCAGCTGATTATTCAAACCTCCATGTATTTGGAAGTATTGTGTACGTGATGTACAACTCCCAAGAAATCTCAAAACTGGATCCAAAATCCAAGAACTGCAAATTCTTGGGGTATGCTGATGGTGTAAAGGGGTATCGCTTATGGGATCTCACTTCCCGCAAAGTGATCATCAGCAAAGATGTTATCTTTGTAGAAGATAAACTACAAAGAAAAGAAGAAGATGGTAGCGCTGAAAAGTCAAAGACTACACAGATACATGTAGAAAAGGATGTTGAACAAGGAGATTCTTCTGAAATAGAACCAGCACATGATGAACAAGAACCAGAGAGTTTTGAAGCTCCAACAACTCGTCAATCAGATCATGTGAGAAGACATCCCAATTGGCACTCAGATTATGTTATATAAGGAAATATTACATACTGGCTTTTAATAGAGGACAATGAGCCATCAACATACCAGGAGGCAATAAACAGCTCAGATGCTTCACTATGGATGATGGCGATGCAAGAAGAAATTGAAGCCCTTCATAAAAATAATACATGGGACCTTGTACCACTACCACAAGGAAAGAAGCCAATTGGTAACAAATGGGTCTTCAAAATCAAGCGAAATGGTGACGATCAAGTTGAGAGGTATCGTGCAAGACTGGTGGTCAAAGGATATGCTCAAAAATAAGATATTGATTTCAATGAAATTTTTCTCCTGTGGTTCGACTGACAACAGTTCGAGTAGTTTTGGCAATGTGTGCTACATTGAACTTACATCTAGAGCAGCTATATGTTAAAACAGCTTTTCTTCATGGAAATCTTGAAGAAGAGATTTACATACTCCAGCCTGAAGGTTTTGAAGAAAAAGAAAAGAAGAATTTGGTTTGCAGGTTGAACAAATCTCTGTACGGTCTAAAGCAGGCGCCGAGGTGTTGGTATAAGAGATTTGATTCCTTCATTATGTGCCTTGGATACAACAGACTTAATGCAGACCCTTGTGCTTATTTCAAGAGGTCTGGTGATAACGATTTTGTTATTTTGCTGTTGTATGTGGATGACATGTTGGTTGCAGGACCCAACAAAGATCATATCAAAGAATTGAAGGCACAACTGGCTAGGGAATTTGAAATGAAAGACTTGGGATCAACAAACAAGATTCTAGGGATGCAAATTCACCGAGACAGAAGTAATATGAAGATTTGGGTTTCACAAAAGAATTACTTGAAGAAGATCTTGTCACGATTCAGCATGCAAGATTGTAAGCCAATTTCTACCCCTCTTCCTATTAACTTCAAATTATCTTCCAATATGAGTCCTAGCAGTGAAAAAGAGAGGATGGAGATGTCTCGAGTACCGTATGCATCAGTAGTGGGAAGTTTAATATTCGCTATGATATGCACAATACCAGACATTGCACAAGCAGTGAGAGTGGTTAGTCGATACATGGCGAATCCAGGCAAAGAGCATTGGAATACAGTAAAGAGGATCCTAAGATACATCAAAGGGACCTCAAATGTTGCATTATGTTACGGAGGATCAAACTTACTTATCAATGGGTATGTCGATTATGACTATGGAGGGGATTTGGATAAAAGCAAATCTATTACAGGATATGTGTTCAAAGTTGCTGGTGGAGCTGTAAGTTGGGTTTCAAAATTGCAGTCAGTTGTGGCTACATCCACAACAGAGGCAGAATATGTAGCAGCTACACAAGCCAGTAAAGAAGCAATCTGGTTGAAAATGCTATTGGAGGAGCTTGGGCACAATCAAGAGTATGTCTCTTTGTTTTGTGACAGTCAAAGCGCCTTGCATTTAGCAAGGAATCCATCATTTCATTCTAGGACAAAGCACATACGATTTCAGTACCATTTCATTCGTGAAAAGATAGAAGAAGGGACAGTAGATATGCAGAAGATCCATACCAAAGACAACATAGCATATTTCATGACGAAAGCGATCAATGCTGATAAATTTACTTGGTGTTGATCCTCTTGTGGTTTGTCAGAGACGTAAGCAACATGATGGTACAAGGTAGAAAGAATGGTGTGAAGATATGATTATTCCAATCAAATCTTCAAGTGGGAGATTATTAGTTGTCATGCAACTAATAATAGTTACATAATGCATAATAATGGTTCATAATGCATTGTAAGTTGGCAACAATAATGGTTCATAGTTGGCACTAATAATGGTTGAAAAGTGACATGGAAAAATTATACATTTTAGTCATTGTACTTTAGGGTATTTATAAGATTAGTCCTTAAGCTTCAACTATAAATACCCTAGCTCATTTAGCTTCAAAATCATCCCAAAGCATTCTAGCTTTCTTCCAATACTAGAGAGAATTTAGAGAGTTTCTTGAGAGTTGTTTTCTTGTTTTTATCAAGAGAGAATTATCATCATTTTCTCTATGGTAGATCAAGAGAGGTTGTAATTCTTATTTTCTCATAGTGAAATTCTTCTACCGTTGCCCGTAGTTTTTACCCTATATTATTTAGGGGGTTTTCACGTAAAGTTTGTGTCTTCTTTTTCTTCATTTTTATTTTCTCAAATTATCAGTTGTGATTTTGCTCTATCCAATAGCCGTCTTCCGCAGCACAATCAACAACATTAGGTTACGGTCTCTTAATAAATTCACGTGGATTGTCATTAAAATCTGTGTAATATCCCAAATATCGGGTTGGTGACCACAATGAAATAATTTAAAATTTGGTGGGTTAAATTGAGTAAATTGAAAAGTATAGGGAATGATTTAAGAAATTGTGTTTAAGACTAAGAATGGATAAATGGAGGGGCAACTTAGTCTTTTAGAAGGAATGAATTTAATATTCATTCTTTATGAGGATATTTAATAAGGTTGGAAAGAGGAAATGGTAAAAAAACTCGCGATTTGGTTCTTTTCTCCTTCTTCCTGTCGTCCTCGTTCTCCCTATAATTAAGGTAAAATTTTCTTCAAGTTGGTTTTTCCTTTCATTTTTGGGTTGATTTTGAAGCTTTAAGTGATATAGAGGCTTAAGAAAAGTTCAAGGAGGATTAAAACTAAGAGATGAATGATTTATTTAAGATTTAATAAAATAAGTTTTTAAATGCTATGATCAGTTATTGAAGTTTAAAGGCATTTTTGACTTATCAAGGAAGGAAATAAGAGATTTGGAGCCTTAAACAAGTTTGAAAAATTGGTTTGATTCTTAGTTGACTAGACATTTCAATATTGTATGTATTAGTGCCGAGCAACTTGTTCTAGTTGAAAGTTGATTGGCATTGCCGCATGCAAAATACCTGTATGCTGCATGTGGCTGTGGATTCTCTAAAATACCACCTCCTTTCAACTTCCACTCCACGTCATATCTTTAGGTAATTCAAAGATTTCTCCATGACCTACATTAACTTCCATCTTCCTTCACCAAATTGTTTGGTTGACCAGTATCATAAAGATGACCAGGTGGCAGATTTCAACTACGATTTGTTGGTTACATCCGAATCTACTATATTAATTCTCTTCAATTTTATAAGCATTTGCAGAATTGAATTCCCTCTTCACCATTAATGGCCATGGACTGTTGCATACACCAAAGGCTGGTTTGATGATCAGATTCATAGTTTAGTTTGAGATAAATTATTTAAGCAACCTCTTGTAATGCTACAACCAATCTCAAACAGATTCTGTTCGTCTAAAAGCAGATAAATAAAATTTGTCTTTTCGTGCTTTCCTCACGAGATCTTCATCAAGCCCTACCTCTCTTTCCAACTTTTACATTCGCTTTATATATAGCAATCTCTCCTTCTGTCACAAAAACGTTGGCAAAATTCCTTTTCTGGCTTCACGACTTCATATTATTATAAATAAAATTTTAGGAATAAAAATAGATTATCAATAATAAAAATAAAAAATATTTAAAATGTATGAGAATTTAAAATTTTCAACGGCCTCCATTTTGTTCCGTGTTTGACGTTTGGGATGTACGTTAGGTGGGGATGAGAATGAGATCTCAAGCGTGAGCGAGGCTGGGTAATTATACTAATTATGACAGTTAGAGGTTGTGACTGCGAACTTAGTTTGCCTTATCCGGGGGCTGTGGCTACTGGCTATCGGACCATTAAATATGTACGCCTGGCTTGATTTGAGTGATCAAATTAACAGTCAAATTGAATGGAAATTTAAACCAAAATTTTGGGTGTATAATAAATACTAATTAATTTATAAATTTGAATATAAAGGTTCCCTGCAGGAATTCACTTGATGGTTTTAACAAATATAGGTAACTCAAAGTCTACATATACGTGCTCGTCTTTGCAGGGACCAAAACAAGATTTTTGTATAAGGTTGAGATAAAAGGACATTTAATTATAAATATTGTTCTTTATGGGACAACAGCCTTTGAGGAATCATGGGTTTTACCTTTAGATTCATGTACAAAAAAAAGGAACAGCCTCTAGAGAAAACTAGGTAAAGTGATTCAGCTTTAAACTGAAACGTGTACCTTAGGTAGGTTAGGATAAATTTAATTTACGTGATACCATGCATGTATGTGTCCGTTCTTTATTAATTGATGAAAATCACTATCTTTCTATATAATATTTCATCCGTCGCCACCCAAACTATAATAATTAATTATAGACTTTTTCACAACTCATTTTTTTATACAATATATCTTTGTTTTATAGCAATCAACCTATATATAATATTTAAACAAATCAATTTTTACTTTTTCAATAAATTAAAAGATATTTTAATGTTATTAATTAAATTCTTCCCATAATTTTTAAAAATTCTCATCAAACATCGTAAAATTTCAAAAAAGTTAATTAGATCCTAATTTTTTTCCAAAAAAATTTAAACTAAACTCGTCAATTTTTTTTTTCAAATTTTAATTTAAACTTATAAATATTTTAAAATTTTAAGTTGATCCTTCCAAAATCTATTATTAAGTTCCACCACTGAACCCATATAATACAATAGTTTTATGTATGTTATAATTATAACAATGTTAACTTAATTAAGATTCAGTTAATAAATATAGAATATATTATATTACAGTGTAAATTTACATAGTACTAATATATTTTTTCCCTGGGCTTTACGAAATGGAATCCTTCCTCTTTTTCACGTTTCAGCCTGGCATTCACTGAAATTCTATCATTTGCATGTATAAATAAGCCAAGAAAGTAGAGTGGGAACACAAACCATATTTCATCAAAGTTCAATTAATACCTATAAAAATATTTCCTGAAATAAGCAAAGTTGGTTGAATATCATGGAACTGGTATTTTCTTCAGTTTGGCTGTCTCGTCTTCTGGTAATATTTTCAGTTTTGGTGTGCAGAACCAAGGCGTTGGTAAAGCTACCACCAAATGAAACGGTTCCTGCTGTGATCGTGTTTGGGGATTCCATTGTTGACGCTGGAAACAACAACCATCTCCAGACTCTTATCAGGTGCAACTTTCTCCCCTATGGCCAAGATTTTGATGGCGGTATTCCCACAGGAAGGTTTTGCAACGGAAAAATCCCTTCGGATTTAGTAGGTAGTAGTTAACCAAATCTCTCTCCTTTTTCACATACACTGCTTCACTTTCTCTTTTAAATTTGTATTCTTCTTCTTGTTTTTTCCTTCTCTTTTGCATGTCAGTGAAAATCAAACTGAAAAATCATCTGGTGTTGGAAAACTACATATATTTGCTTCTCTTCTAGTACTTCAATGAGACGGAAAACAAAATTACTTTTCATACACTAACTTTAATGGTTGTTTGAAAATGTACAATATAGAACACGGATTTTTATTTTAACTCATTTTTTATAAACTATTAGCATGCAATGGTGTGATATTATTTAAATTTATTTTTACGTACTCTTTTACTTATGGAAACAATTCACTAGATTTAAGAGTAGAAGTGCTCTTACAAGTAATAGTTTATCTAGTAGACACTGTTGAAAAGGATGCATGAGTAGTTAATTAAATGAACTGGAAAAGGTGGAGTGGGTGGTGGGTGAGTGGAAACGATGAGTTGAATATCGTTATCATAATTGATTCCTTTTCAATATCACTATACATCTTATTAATTATTTCTTGTATATACATATGCCACTAGCTTGCAGCATATATTAATAATGTATTCATGCAAATGTATGCATATAATTAAATATAAAGTAAAAATTTAAAGTAATGGTTAAGCGAGCACACTAGAGAGATTCAGTAAACAATTTGATAGCCAAATTTTCAGTCTTAATGATAAACCCATCGCATTAGGTGTTCCAGTTAATGCATATTAGTCTTTTAGCTTCAAAATCTTGATGATTATAGCCATAGGGCTTTAATTAATATATTTGAATAATAATTACACTTTCTTTAATTTTTATGCTTTAATATATGTTAGAAACGGCAATGTCTTGTGAGTTCACGTTCCTTCTTGAAGAAAAGCATGTCTTCTCCAGTCTTCACATGCATGATTAAAGTATACAATTTCCGAAGTTGACTTAAAATACTGCAAATGAATTTTCATTGTATGTCGAATATATAGAATTCGATCAGTCAATTATGTATATATTGTATTTAACAGCTAGGAAACTAAAAACCTACAGATGGCATAATTAGGTCAGACTCGCTTTTCTCTTCTTTAATTTATAATGGACACGATTACTGGTCCTCCTATAGTCCTATTAATGGCCGTAAACCTGATTTATAAATAGGGGTCAGAGATGGATTGAAAGGATCTTAAGATACAGTCGTATTTTTTGAAAAATTTTGTATAATATCCACCACAGTTTATACCTTAATTCTCAGTGAAAATTGGTGAATTTTTATTTTTCTGTTTAAATATTTTTCAGCTGAAGAATTGGGAATAAAAGATATACTGCCAGCGTATCTGGACCCAAATTTGAAACCCCAAGATCTGATAACAGGAGTAACCTTTGCGTCGGGTGGCACTGGATACGATCCTTTGACTCCCCAACTAGCGGTACATAATATTTCTTCCTTACTAAAATTTACCTTTCTCGCTTTTACTTCTTACCGATGTTTTACCTTAAAATTTGCCCGAAAACATCAGTCCGTTATATCGATGTCGGCCCAGTTAGATCTGTTTAAAGAATACACAGCGAAGCTGAAACAACTTGTTGGAGAAGAGAGAGCAAACTTCATCTTATCCAAGAGTTTATACCTTGTTGTAGCCGGTAGCGATGACATTGCCAATACCTATTTTGCTCTCCGTGCCAGGAAATTGCAGTACGACATTCCTGCCTACACTGATTTAATGCTTAACTCGGCTACTCTCTTTTTAAAGGTATTTAAATATCCATGGTGAACAAGATTTTCAGTCATTATATATTTATTTTTAATGAATAATATTGGAAGGAACTATATGGTTTGGGAGCAAGAAGAATAGGAGTTTTCAGTACACCACCAATCGGCTGTGTGCCATCACAAAGAACATTGGCAGGAGGAATTAAAAGGGAATGCGCAAATGACTATAACGTGGCAGCTAGATTGTTCAATGCAAAGCTATCCGCAGCGTTGAATTCACTTGAAAGAAGCATGGCCTATGGGAAATTTGTGTACGTAGATGTCTACAATCCCCTGCTTGATCTCATTAAAACCCCTCAAAAATATGGTAATTAAAAGCTTACCCTTTAGACCCTAATTTTGTATGTTCTTTTCTTGGAAAATAACCTTTTAATGGGTGGAATTTTCAGGCTTTGAAGTTGCAAACAAAGGGTGCTGTGGAACAGGGAACATTGAGGTGGCAGTTTTGTGTAATAAATTGAGTCCATCTACCTGTCCAGATGTCTCCAAGTATATATTTTGGGACAGTTATCATCCAACTGAGAAGGCATACAGAGCCCTACTTATCCCACTCCTACAAAAGTATGTGACCAAATTCTTGTGAGCCAAAATGGTCTTCGATGATTTGCAACCATGTACGCTCTGCAATATGTAATCTTCACTCTCTATATTGAGAAAATGCTATAATTTATATATTTTGCAATTTTCTAGGTAACTGAAAACTTAAAACCAAAGCAAGTTATTTGCCCATTCAAAAAGGAAAAAGGCAGACCAAGTAAGACATTGTTGCTTTCATGATTCTTGTTCCCATCCATCAAATAAACACTTGCATTATTATTTCAACATCTAAGACAGATGTCATGAACATGCAATTATTATTTGAAAATGGAAAATGGACCGTCAAGAAAATTATTTTGTCCTATTCGTTATAAACAAATCCACGTAACTATCGGTACTGCTTCCGTTGCATTTCATAGTCTAATATGATTTATAGTGCCAACACTAAAAAGGAATAGAAGTAGAAAAAGGAAAAGGAAAAGGAAAAGGCAAATCAATTTGATTTTGGATAGGCATCCATTACTATTTCACCAGCTGACTGTCCTTGATCATAATGGACTCAATCATGCATTTATTATTATTTTATAATTTAAAGATAATAGGATTTATTTATTTATTTTTGCAATTTGTTAATATATATATATATGTAAAAGCATTACTTTTTATGATAAGATTATTATTACATTTTGAAAAATCTTTAATGTTTGAGAATATGGAGTTGAAATTTTGATTTCTTATGTTATTTCCTTATACCATTACAACATTGCTAGAACGTGCTTGTTTTTCATTAATGTATCTAAAAGTATTTATGATGCTTTTGGGAACATTCGTGTGTGAGTTACATATGTAGTTATCTTAGTGAAAAGAATCTGTATTTACTTATCTTAATGTGGGATATGATCCATTTAACTTCAAATTTGCAGGTCTGGACACTTTTTATTTCCCCAAAACAAAGCTATTGTTCTTTGAACCTTTGACATTTCACCTCTCTTTATCTGCGGTGAAATCAGTTAGTTTCATCGATGTAATCAGTTACTGCAATTCAGAGAATACATGGAGAAGTTGAAAGCAATTGCTGGAGAAGAAGGAACCAATTCCATGTTGGCTAAAAGTCTTTTATAGTTGTATCAGTAATGACCTTGCAAACACCTATTTTAACAGCAAATGTTGCACTAGGTTGTAGCATCATTTTGATTGACGTTTTAACTGATAAATCCCATGTTTCTTTATGATTTTGTGAAGGAACTACATGGATTAGGAGCAAGGAAGATTGAAGTTCTAAATGTACCACCAATTGGGTGCGTGTCATCATCAAGAATCATGGGTGGTGGAGGCACAAGCGAATTATGTTTGGAGAATTACAATGAAGCAGCCCAACTATTCAACTCTAAATTGTATGCAGAGCTGGATTCCTTGAACAGATATTTGCCCCTGGCCAAGGTGGTTTACCTGGATGTTTACAGCCCTTTGCTTGATCTCCTTCAAAACCCATAATAAACATTGTAAAATTATCTCTTGCACTTCTCCTCGTCTTCTGTTAATTTTGAACCATGTATTTTTGTTTGACTTGCTCCAAATTTAAACTCACCATATTTCAGGGTTTGAAATTGTGGACAGAGGGTGCCGCAGCACCGATACGGTGGAGGTGTCAGTATTATGTAATCAAATGGACATGGGGACGTGCACCAACGCCAGTAATTATATCTTCTGGAACAGCTACCATCTCACCGAGAGAGCATGCAGGCTGTTGGTCCATAATCTCTTCAACAATAATACCAACAGCTTTTTCTAAGAACTTTTTGTTTGTTAACAAGTATTGGTTAATAGTAATTTTAAGTTTATTTTGTTAGATTCAAGAACTAATAGTGGCTGCATCTAGCTATTCAGTTTTGGGTAGCTTTCATAACCGATTATGAACTTTCAGGCCTCCCCGGCCATATAAACTATTGTGCCAAACCCAGAATCTCAAATGCAAAAAACTGTTCAAAAGTAACATCATAAGTCATCAGAAACTGAAGTTTCTTTCTTTTTTCTCCTTTTGGTTATTGGTTTATTTGTGTGGAAATGCCTTGTGCTGCCTCAAATATTCTGCTTGCATTATGTGTTATTCTTGCTTTATATAGCACAAGAGGTGGCGTAGTCTCTGCTGCCCCTGGCCTTCCTGGATCATATCCGGCTATTTTAGCATTCGGAGACTCAATTCTGGATACGGGAAACAACAATCTTTTAGGTACCTCAACAAAATGTAATTACCCTCCTTATGGAAGAGACTTTCCTGGAGGAATACCGACAGGTAGATTCGGAAATGGAAAAGTTTTCTCCGACTTGATAGGTACTTCGATATGTTAAAAGAATTGGAAATCGGGACAATTTTGACTTGCTTTTATCCGTATTGCTTTGTACAGCCGAACGTTCGGGAATTAAAGCTATACTGCCAGCATTTCTAGACCCAAATCTTAATGACGAAGATCTTGCGACAGGCGTATGCTTTGCTTCAGGTGGTTCTGGATTGGACCAACAAACAGCCAACTTACAGGTTACGCATACAGTTTCCCTGGAAATATATTTGATTTCGTTTCGGTCTCTACGTATTAATTATAGTGTAGCATATCAGAATGTATTATCAATCACGGCTCAGCTCAATCTCTTCAAACAATACGTCGGAAAGCTAGAAGGGTATGTTGGAACGGAGAAAGCCCAAGATATCATATCCCAAAGCTTGTACCTCGTGTCATCCGGCAACAACGACATCGCCATCACCTATTTTTCAACTCTGAGGAACGACATCGATGTATACACAACACAACTGGTTCAACGGGCTTCCGCTTTCATTCAAGTAAAGAGAATACTCTGTCCAATTCTTTTTCTGTAAAATCATATGAACTGTTGGTTTTTCAAATGATGTTTAAGGATATGTATGGATTGGGAGCAAGGAAGTTCGCATATCTAACAACTCTGCCCTTGGGGTGCCTGCCATCAGCCAGAATTACGGCGGGAGGACTACTAGGAAATTGTTTTGAAATGGCAAATGAAGCAGCAGCTTTGTTCAATTCAAAGCTGGAAGCTGAAATAACCAATCTTAACAATAACCTTCCTGGAGCTAACATTTTCTTACTAGACGTCTACAGCCCTCTGCTTGAAATCATTCAGAATCCCAACAAACATGGTAGACCCTGAATCGTGTAAAACATGTAATTGAAGTTAGTATTTGTACTGAATCATTCTTCTGTGATTTTAGGATTCTTTGATTCCACACATGGCTGCTGTGCGTCGGTAACATTAATATGCACTTATATGGATCCATTGACATGTCCGGTTACTTCTACCCATGTGTTTTGGGACGCTGCTCATCCTTCAGAAAAAGCATACCGAGCTATCATCTCACAACTCCTTGGATAGAATTCCGCACCAGCTTTTGGTTTTGCGGCGGCTTTACTATTGTTACCACTAATCTACACCTTTTGTTAGTTTCATATAATACTTTTTCAACTCTGTTTCGATTATTTTGTCATTACCTCACTTAATGAATGTAATAAGGTTAAAATGATCAAATATAAATTGATCCTCTTTCTCTCTCTATTAAAATTACACACTTATTAGTTTTCTCTCGTAGTTTTCTCTTATTGATAAGTCGTTCATTTATTTTTCTTTTTATCTTTGTTAATCAACGATGACACCAACTTTAATGTTGGTCGCCGACCATAGGTATTATTTATTGTCCTTTTATTTTTTTATATTACATTTTTATTTTTTTTATTTTTAATAAATTTGTATGTACGACACGTTTTCATATACCTTCATGACACGTTTTCTTCTGCCTGTTGACACGTTTTTTATCGTTTAGTCGTTGTTTTCACTTATATTTTTCTAAGGGTTGATTTGACATCACCACAACTGATCAATATGACTCTTATTTATTATATTGGTGATATTCCCTGCTTTGGACCTTCAGATTGGATTTGGATACTCTTTATGCATTCATAGATAGTTTTTCAAGTCACTCAAGTTTGATTTACGGTTTGTCGGTGGTCTTTCAATCGCTTGATCCTCTTTTGTGGTTCGTTTGTCGATGTGATCAGATTTGTTTATTATATTAGTGATCTTCCATGCTTTGGACAATCGGATTGGATTTGGATCTCCTTTATTCGTTCATTGATAGTTTTTCACGTCGCTCAAGTCTGATTTACGATTTGCCGGTGGTCTTTCAATAGCTTGATCCCTTTTTGTGGTTCGTTTGTCGATGCGATCAGATTTGTTTGTATCTATCTTTATTCGAGTTTTCTTGATTTATGTGATCTTAAGTTACAGTTTTGTTTCAATGATTATAGAAAATTATCATAATTATATGTTTAATTTACAATTATGATCGTAAATTTTTATTATAATTTAATATATTTTTATTTAAAATAAAATTAGTAATTTCTTTCGAAAGTAAATTACACACTTAACCCATAAAATGACCTCAATCATTAAAATATATATAGTATGAGTACGTATTACAAATGACTAAAAACAAATTTTAACAATACACACTTTAAAAACAAATAAAAGATCTAAAAACTTATATTTCCGAGAGAAAAAACTATTTATATATATAAGATGGAGCTCTGGTAACAGATAATGGTAAAGCTATCGTATCTAATGCCTCGTTGTCTCGTATGAGCAGAGAAACGACATGACATTGAGATCACCTATTTTATTGTCTGAAATCACTCAAGTTTGACTGTTTTTAAAGTTTTACAAATTTCGTTTTCCAACTGTTATATTTTTTTAGTAAGATCGGGTCAATCTCTGCTTTCTTCTCTTCCTTTTTCACCTTTCATGTATAGGATTTTCGAAACCTTCCAATTGGATGCGTCATCATCATCATCATCATGTCGTCGATGGGTAGGATAATCACGTTGAGGAGCTCGGACGGCGAAAACTTCGAGGTGGACGAGGCTGTGGCACTCGAATCGCAAACGACCAAGCACATGATCGAGGACGATTGCGTTGGAAACGGCATTCCTTTACCCAACGTCACCAGCAAGATCTTCTCTAAAGTTATCGAGTACTGCAAGAAACACGTGGAAGCAGCTAACTCCGACGATCGTTCTTCCTCCATCGACGATGAGCTCAAGTCTTGGGACGCCGATTTCGTCAAGGTCTATCAAGCCACCCTCTTCGATCTAATCCTGGTATGCATGCCTTTCTTTGATAACTTTCATAGGGATATTTTAAAGTTTAACTTCAAATTTATTTATATTTAAGGGTTTTTTAATGGAAAGGCTGCTAATTATTTGAACATCAACAGCTTGTGTACCTGACGCGCTAAACAGTGGCTGACATGATAAAGGGCAAAACACCGGAGGAGATCCGTAAGACGTTTAATATTAAGAACGATTTTACTCCGGAAGAAGAAGAAGAATCGTCGCGATAATCAGTGGGCCTTTGAGTGAAGGATCTTAACCAATGACCCTAATTTTTTTAAATGTGTTTGAGAACATGGGGTAGTTGTTTTTCTTTGTTTTTTTACTTGCTTTTAACTGCCACGTTTCGATCATTCTAATGTAAATATATGTCGTTCTTCATTAATCATCACTATCAGCCTGTTTTCGGGATTCGCTTTTGGTACGTTGAAGTGGAACTGAGAGGAAAACAAAAATGATTCTGCTAATATCAGGTTAAAAAGCTTCGATTCATGATTATTACATTGGAATTTACAATTTAGAACTTGTGGATCCTGCTATTTTGGTATAGATGTTCTACACCTTACTCTAATGCTAAGCTACCATTTTACTGCTTATGGCAAATGGACTTCTGACTTTGTATTTTCCATTAGACCATGTTATGGATCCAAGTACATCTTTTTTGATCGGATTTCCGATTGAGAAGCTCACTTGATACGATGGCTTGAACATAAAGACTTGTAGGTGCATCAACGCTTACGTTATACATGTTTTTGCATCTCCTGCAACATTTGTAAGGGTTCTGATCACTTTCCTGCCTGCTTTCTCATCAAAATAGGAAATCGATATTGATGGATAATTGATGTTGGATATAAGATCAATGCTCGACCCCTTTGGGCATGTAAACCCATCTGGGATAGTGCAGGCCATACTTTTTAATGTAGATGTATTATAACCATGGTAGCATAGGAAATTTAAGTAGTCAATGGTAGTAGTCTCATAAACCAGGCCAGGTTGCAATGGTCCTGTGGTGCTTACTTCTCCGGCACCGAAATCATAAGGCGTAGCTGCTGTACTTTTCTGAGTCATAATTAGGGCTTTCTTATTATTTATTTGAGCAGCTGTAAATTGTTTGGAAGCAGTCACAGGTTGGTTAAAAGTTCCAGACTGAACCATGTAAATTGCAAGTGTAGATTTGCGTTTTAGTTCTTCAACTGTTGTCATGATGGCTGTCCTGATTGCGGAGGGACTCCATTCAGGGTTTCTTGATTTGAACGTGGCAGCAATACCGGAGACATGTGGACATGACATGGAAGTTCCCGAGAGCACATTATATAGTGGCGGCTCCTTGCCTTCTGGAGTTTCAGCTGTATCGTTCCCTATCCATGCTCCAAGAATGTTCACTCCGGGTGCTGCCATATCAGGCTGCAACACATTCAATATAGGTTTACTATGTTAGCCTTGGAAGAAACTAAGTTCTATGAAACAAAATAGAAGAGTATTTTCCTTGAGAATGTTCTTTGGGATGGTTGAAGGGCCTCTAGATGAGAAATATGGTATAGTAGGTGCTGGTTTAGAATTTGTCGACGATGGCAAGATTACGGTAACTGGATTTCTACAAATCTCAAAACAGATAAATGGTAAGTATTTTCGAACATTGAATTAATTAAGAATCTTGAGTTACATTTGGGCTGTATTACTTTATTGAGTTGATGTAGGAGAGAACCTTTACACCATCTTCTGAATTAATCACACTCATGGAAAATGCACCAAAATTGAATTCAACCTCTCCTAGTTCATCATCGATCAGGATTACCCCAATACCTCCAAGTTTCTTTACTTCATTTTGCTTATTTTTATTTGGAAACAATGAATCTTCATTGTCACAGACAACAGTCTTTCCTTTGATAAGTTCTTGTTCCATGGAATCTGGCCTGCAGTTCCTGAACAACAGAAATCATGGAATAACTGATCATTTATGGTGTATATTGCCACAATTTACTTATTAAGCACCTTGTTGCATTTTCTTCTACTCCACTTTTCTTGGCTGATTTTGCATACATAATTGGGTACACAGGAGATGCTTTAATGTTGACGAAATTAATACTTGCACCCTGCATATCAGTTAGAAGACAGTGAGAAAATCTGATAAGAAGATCGGAAAAGTGTCAAAGGAGAGCATCATTACCTTAATTACTTAATAATACCCCAGGATAACATTTGATTCAAACTCTCGGTCGATCGTGCTAGCGGCGACAGTCAAAATCCAAGGTGCTGAGTTCTCAACCGAACCAGGGTTTGGTCCATCATTTCCTGCGGAACAAACCACAGTAATATTATTCTGCACAGCATGAAATGCCCCATGGGCAATGGGATCTTTTATAAATTCTTGTTGTAGAAATGATGATGATCCGAGGGACAGCGACAGTGCATCAACCCTATCGGCAATCACATCATCAAATGGTGCTAATACAGTGGATCCACGGCCTCTGTTTTGAGAGGAAAACACGTCATATATAGCTAATCTAGACCCTGGCGCTCCACCCTAGGCGGTCCCTGATGCCAGCCCGTAGTAAGATACATCATGGACCTCAGCCCCAGCTGCGGTTGACGCCACATGAGTGCCTTTCCCAATCACGTCCCTCTGTAAGCTTTCGCCATACGATCTTGCCCCAATTATCTTTCTGTTGCAAAACAAAGCTTACTACTTATTTACGAGATCAATAAAACAGGAATTAAATATTAATCATATCGGTAAGAGGTAGGGATACTTGTTGCAATTGAGGATACTTGTTGCAATTGAAGGTGTTGGAATTCCGTCCTTTTGCGCAAATACCTCTCCATGTTTTAGGAATTTCACGCATTCCCTTGTCGTTAACACTCTCCAACTCTGGCCAAACCCCTATGTCCTCGAATTCGGAAACAAAATATAAATAGCCATTCAAATTGCATGATATAGTTACAGAAAATATAATGAGAAAAAGACATTGTGACGTGATTCTATATATCGGTGCATAAGTTTCACCTGAATCTATGATGCCAATGATGACATCTGAATCATGATTTGTTAAGTTTCAATCTGAGCTGGGATTTGATTCCATCGTCCCTATAGTTTCATACTTTAAGAAATCCCATGATCGGGTAGTGTGGAGTTCCAACACAGGGTCGGGGAAGACTGACACAACTCCAGGACTCTCAGCAATTGAATTAGCCTCTTCAGCAGATAAAAGCACTGCAAACCTAGAGAAGCCTTTGTACCAGGGCATATTTTTTCCTGACAACGTCAAAATTTTCAACTTGACAATAGATTTCTCTATGAATTGAAGCATCAAAGGAAAAGGGCATGGGATTCGTAACCAACTCAAATATAAAGTGGAAAAAATTAAAGGTGTATTCACTGTTTTAACAAAGAATCTAGAAGTTGAGTATGATCAGTCCTTAATGAACCCTTACTCGAAGCCGGTGCACCCATGTAAACAATATAAACACCATCCTCATCTGCAGCAACTCTTCCAGGTTTCAGAACAGTGAGACGAGGAAGAAAAAGGACGTAAAACTGAAAATAAAGGTAACAAGGGCCTGCATGGCGTTAACAGAGACTCTGAAAAGTGCTTCAAATGGCTTTGATTAAAGCAAGCTTCCAGTGTACTAAATGATGTATTCGTAGAAGAGTGGATCAGATCAGCAGAGATTTTTATATACAGCCAGAGTGCGGTTATACCAAATGGCTGAGCTATGATTTGATTGATTGAGAGTAAATATTATTCCGACTCATCTGACGCTAGATGCAAAAGTACGATAGTGAACGTGTTGTTTGTATATGGAAGTTCTATGGTAGAGTGTCGTGGGGTAACATCTTTCTTTATTAGTCTTTTCCATGTCTACTTTATATGAAATCCATAATGAATTGATAAGCCATTTGTTTCATCCGAATCGAATTGGCCAGCAGGTATTTTCGTTGCACTGCTGACCTTTCTTTTTCTCTCTTTCCTTAAGGGAATTGTTGAGGTATGAAGGCAAGTGTTTAGCGGTAGTGCTCACTTGTACTGATTAATTTAAGCCTTGAGTGTAGATTAGTTAAGTGTAGGTTCTTGAATGTTCTGCACCATGGTTGTTAGTAACGGTTAGAGTTAAAATAGAAGTTGTCGTAACGTCATTTTCTATTTTAAAAGTTTTTACGTTTTAAAACAAAATTCAATTACGACTTATTTCTTTCAAAATATTCATTTTAAATTAATTTGATTATTTGACTTGGAGTCTCTATCGGCCTTTGAATTAGGTAGGTCGAGTACCTAAAAAACGTATATTAAGCGAATTTAAAAAACATTTAAAAGACATAAAACTGGTCTACGTTTACCATAAATTTATTTAAATGGATTCGGGGATTACGCGTATGGAACAAAAATTACTACCACAACGCCCAAAATTGGTACTTATTCGCTTATACTTTGTTGTGGCAATGAAATTAAGAATTTGAATATAAAATTGGAACATGATACATTTATTGAAGTTTAATTAATTTGCTTCGAATTATTTATTAGGGAAAAATATTTAATTTAAAAAGAAATCTCGGGATTTGTACATCCTCCAATGAAAATGATATATCATCTATTTCTCGTCTATAAAATAATATTCTCTCCTCATAATATTAAAAAAGACATTAATTGAATGAAAAATTAATATTAACGAATGGCGTAAAATAACCCATTATTAAAAAAAATGCATTACCAACACTTAAATCAAAACAGAAAGGACAAATTAGTTATTATTATATTTTAAAAAAAATACACTCAATTTGTTTCGAGTTCACATCTCGTTCGAATGTCGTCTTGAATCGCACTATCTCTCTAAGGTGGTGCTTTTTACGGTCATTCTACAACGAGTGTTCTCGGAAGTGGATTCGAGTATAAAATTTAATAGATTATCAATGTCAAAAATTTTAGGGTGTTTGGCAAATCTAGCGTCTATATTGTAAACTTACTAATCAAAGTTTGCATCAATATTAAAACATCCCTTAAGGAAATATATATAACATATTAACATGCAATAATAAAAACATAGATTAAAATAAAAAAAAACATAATAGTGTAGGGACCAAGCAGCAAATATATCTTAAAATAAGGACCAAATCAAAATTTATAAAAACAGACAGGGCTAATCTAAAAACAAATTAAACCTAAACAGTGGCAATAATGTAAACATGGCAAAATGGGGACCTAAAGCATGAAGAAAGCCAAATTT